GAGAATCACGCAGTGTCTTCTCCCCATCTGTGCATGGCTGAACTTCCGTTGTTTACTCTGATCTGTGTACGGTTGGACTCTGTCTCCTCTCCCCCTTCCCTTATGCATGTATGGGCGTGTATGAGACTGTCTGTGTGTGAGTGGCGGTAAAAATCGTCAAACAACCAAGTTCATAACAGTTGGTATCGGAGCGGGATTGGAATTGGAGCACTGAGGGTTGAGTGCAACTGGGGCATCTTCTTCATCTGGCGACATACAGGCGAGAGGTTCATGGCGATTCATCTTCCCCAGTACTGAGTCAACAGGGAAGAAGATTTCAAGCGGTGAAATCCAGAGTGAAGTGTTGTACTGAGCAAGTGCACGGAGCCTGTCAGGGTGCTTGTGAGGAAGTGGCGAGAACATGGTTAATTCGCCATAGCCAACCCTGAGGGTAGTATTGCGAATTACCCTAGAGTGGCAAATTACCCTTGAGGACTTCAGGGATCACTGAGCGGCTTCATCCCTGAGCAGCGTTGAGGGAGATTGACAATCAGTGTCAATCTCAGGTGGAAATAACCCCATCTGGGGCTATTTATAGCATCAGCGGTTGAGGGTACCTGTGGCGAGATAATTGTTTGTTGGCGTTTGAGTGCCACAGGGTCAGATTCAGGGAATCTGACGAAAAGGGTTGCAGCGCTTGAGAATACTGAAGAGGATCAACAAGTTTGAAGTGTTTCTGTGCGTGGAAGACAGAGGAGGAAGCTCGGGAAGAAATTGGCGAAGTGAGGATATGAGTTTGCCATAGCCAGATCTTCTCCCAACTCTGCAAGAAACTCTGAAAGTGAGTCCGTTCCATGCACCTACCTGTATAGCGATTCAGATAGGATTAGATTAGTCAGTAATCATGGTCTATCTATCTGCCAGTGACTGGATGTGAAAATCGCAGACTGCATGACAACCATAGCCATCTCTTCCCTACCTTTCTCTGCTCATTTATATCCCTCTGTTGACTCTTTTCCATCCAAAATTGTTATGTGACTGCCTTAATGTATTGCGCTTGATTTGGGATGCTTAGACTGTGAATTCTGCACTGGAAAAGTAGTGATACTATGAATTGCAGTTTTGCGCGGAGTCTAATTATAGCCTGTGCTACTTAGGGTCAGTCATAACTTCAATTCTGCTCGTCATAATTCAATTATGTCAGTTACCAATGAATCGCAATCCAAAAATAGTCAGTATTGCAGAAGCGCTTGATGGGATTTCTAGTATTTCACTGGAAACAGTGAATACTGTACTTCGCCATACCCTAGGGTATGGCTGCCAGAGTCATCATGGTCGAAATTAGAGAATGGGCTAGGATTCGGTTTCTGACTGAATCACTTTGCTTGTTTGATCATTCTTGTCTGTACTTGCCGTGTTCTTTCATTCTCACTGACTACTCTTGTTTTCTAGTGGGCTCTGGAAATCTAGTGTCTCTCTAGAAGAGTAGTGGACTGTGTCTACTAACTCCAATGTGGTGCAGGGTCAGTAAAAGGAAATCGTGTGAATGATTTTACTGGACTATCTGTCTGTCTGACACCTGACCCCAGAGAGACCATTCTAACCCAAATCGTTTGTTGCCTATTCACCCATCTACCTCTGTGTCTGAGACAGCAGCGATTTCTTAGTGTCTGCAGGAAACTGAAAATTGTTGCATACTACTCAGCTTATCCTTTATTTATTGTTGTTCTGAAAGTGGAAAATGGCGGATCAGGGTGCTCAGCAGCAGCCACAGGTAGAAGTGGTGATGAAGGTAGAAGGACAATAACCATCTACCTCCACCCCTACTACTCCTCTGACTGCTACTCAGCAGAAGAAGAAGGAGCTACATGAAAGACTGCAGCAGGAGCAGGCCCTGCTTGCAGAATTGGAGAGACAGGAGGCAACTGAGCTAGAGGCTGCAACAGATACTTCTCGCAGGAAGTACCTGTTGGAGCAGCTAAACAAGGTCCTTACAGATAACCGCTGCTCCCAAGTGAATAAGAACCTGGCGGAGTGGGCTCTTCTGGAGCACAAGGCCACCAGTTCTTATTTCACTAATTGGGACGATCGCATCGGCCGTCTGGAGCGCAGGGTGGATGACCTGGCAGCTCAGCAGTCCAAGATACTGAAAGCAATTCAGGATCTGACTGCTCAGCTGTCAGCAGTCAAACTGATTGCTCCCCAGTCTCCTGCCTCCTCATTGAAACTCAAACCTTCTTCTTCTCCTCCTTCAACTCCCTCTGGTTCGCGACGTTCTTCCCCTTCACCATCTCCTTCCCAAAAAGCCTCAGCCAAACCCACCTTTGCTGTTGTTGTTGCAGGGGATCAAAGAGGTCCCAAGATCCCTGCCCCCAACAAATTCAGAGGGGATGACCCCAAGACTGATGTTGGGGACTGGGCTGCAGGGACCAGAGCCTACTTGAGGGTCTTCATATGCCCAGAACTGACAAAGGTGGCTACAGTTCAGGGACTGCTGGAGGGGCCTGCACAAAAGTGGGCTACCTCTACCTCTAGTGGTCTGCAGAAAAACATGGAGGGTTGGGTTTTGGGATTGGGGGTGGACAATCTTCTGCAGGCTCTGGAAGACCGCTTTGCAGACAAGGAGCGGGCCCGCAAAGCTGCTGACAAGATTGCTCACTTGGGGCAGCAGCGCTACAGCGGTACCCTGCAATCTTTGTTTGCAGAGTTCGAGCAGTTAACTTCCACCCTAGGTTTGGTCATGTCTGCAGACGACCTACTAACAAACTTCTGCAGGGCGGCCCCTGAGAAGTTTTATGTGGCTTTGTACAGCGCTGGGCACAAGGACTGGAGATCCTTTGGCCGTGCATCCCTGGTCATGGAGGCAAAACTTCATGTCCAGGCCCCCTCCTCTGACAGGAGGAAAGGTGCCTTCCCTCGTGGTGGTAGAAAGGGAAAGGCAGCCTTTGCACATGCAGGGTCTGCATCAGCTTCGGATTCAGATTCCCAGGCTGATACACCATCAGCTGGGACTGGATCAGCTGCTGAGACAGGTGTTGTAGCGGCCCTGACTCGGGCTGTTCTGGGAGTTTTGCAGCAGCAGAAGAAGTTCTCTCCCACCACAGCCTCAGCCAGTGCAAAGGGGAAGGACAGGGGACGTCGGCCTTCCTCCTCCCAGCGCCCTAATCTGCCAAAAGATGTCCATATGCCAGCTGACCCACTCAATCCCTCCACTCTCCCCTGGCATGACCTCAAGATCCAGGAGGGAGTGTGGAGAAGAAGATAGGAAAGAGGGGTCTGCCTGAGGTGTGAGGGACAACACTTCTTAAAGGACTGCCCTTACATGCCAGGCCCAGGTCAGTCAAAAAACTGAAACAGACCCTGGGGACTGCAGTTCCCCCCAATGCTGCACCTTCATCTACACAGGTAGGTGAATCTGTAGCTGTTTCAGTTGAGACTGTATGTGAGTGTTTGGGGACTACGCAGGCAGCATCCTTTTGCTATGAGGATCCTGACCCGGATCAGGACCCGGGGCAGGATGAGCTTCAGTCCCTTGCAGCTTTCTTCCTTCATCTGAAGGAACAAAAGAAAAGCAAGTCTGATCTCATCCTACTTCGGCCCCTGATCAACCACATCAGGATCAAAGGGCTGTGAGATTGTGGAGCCACTAGGAACTTCATATCCCCCAGTGCTGTAAAGAAACTGCACCTGGGTATGAAAGTTCAGCAGCTGCAGCACCTTTTGCTGGTCAGAATAGGTGACTCCACAGTGCTCACTATCAGGGAGAAAGTCAGGCGTATCCCTGTGACTTTCGATAGTGCGAGGGAAGTCATACATAGTCTGAACTTCTACATATTCCCTGATCTACCATTTGACCTGGTGTTCTCTATGCAGTGGCTGAAGGCAGTCAACCCAAGGATCGACTGGCAGATCCCAAAGGTTGAGCTACCTAACACACAGGGGGTGTATCAGCCATGTATGATTGCTACTGAACACCACCCTAAGACCAGTTGCTACTGTTTGAGAGCGAGGGAGTTTTATGCTCTCTCGCGCCAGTATGGCCATGAGCGCATGTTCTTGGCTTTGGTCAAGTAGGCAGACGCTCCTACTGTTTCTTGTCCTCCTAAGATACAGCAGGTTGTGGACCAGTATCCTGATCTGATGCAGGAGCCCTTTGGGTTGCCCAACCGGCCAACCAAGCATCGCATTGAGCTACTACCTGGAGCGGTCCCTCCCAAGGGCCGCATCTACAGGATGTCCCCTACTGAGCTTGAGGAGCTCAGAAAGCAGCTTGAGACACTAACCAGCAAAGGCTGGATACGGCCGAGCACTTCTGAATTTGGGGCACCGAAGGGAATGGAGAATTCAGAATGTGCATCGACTACAGGGGCCTCAACAAGCTCACTAGGAAGAGTACAGAGCCACTTCCTAGGATCGATGATCTTCTGGATATGGTGCAGGGTTGCATATGTTCAGCAAAGTCGACCTCAAATCTGGCTATCACCAGATTGAGATGGAAGAGGAGGATGTCTATAAGACAGCCTTCAAGACCATGTATGGTACTTACAAGTTCCTGGTCATGCCATTTGGACTTTGCAATACCCCAAGTACCTTCCAGACAGAGATGCACCGCATCTTCAGGCCTTACCCGGACAAGTTCATGGTTGTCTACCTGGATGACATCCTGGTATTCAGCAGAACTGCCAGGGAACATGTGGAGCACCTGGCTCTTATCCGTCAGTCATTATGTGACAGCCACTATAAGATTAACAGAGAGAAGTCCTCTTTTGGAGTTCCCTCTGTCATCTATCTGGGCCATGTAATCTCTGGAGATGGCCTGACTCCTGAAGCAGCCAAAATAGTTGCTATTCAGGACTGGCCCCAGCCACAGATAGTGAGGGATGTCAGGTCCTTCATGGGTTTAGCCTCCTACTACAGAAAGGATGTCAGGAACTTTTCTGCAGTGGCTGCACCCGTGACCAACCTAACAAAGAAAGACGCTTCATTTCTTTGGACCCTTCCCTGTCAGTTGGCCTTCACACGACCCAAGAAGGCCTTGACTCGTGCACTTGTGTTGAAGCTACCTGACCCCACTCTACCATTTATCCTGACCACTGATGCTAGTCAGTATGGTGTGGGGGCAGTTATTCAGCAGGATGATGGGAATGGTCTACGGCCAGTAGAGTTCATGAGTAAGAAGATCAAGACTCAAAAGCTTCAGGACTCTACCTACGAGAAAGAGCTGTATGCTCTTGTTTGTGCCCTAAAACCTGGAAAGACACTTCAAGATCTTCTCAGATCACTCCACCTTACAGTGGATGAAGTCCCAGGGAGAGTTAAACGATAAGTCGCCATGATTATGCCCTCTCTCGTAGGCCTGACTCTTTTGCATTGATCTCGTCCACTCACTCCTTTGGAGAGGAGACCCGTCAGACCATTGCTCGTCTTCTGCCTCAGGACCCGACTTTTGGGCCCATAGTCAGGAATCTACAAGCGGATCCCAATGATGAACCCGGTTATGCCCTGAGTTCAGACTTGTTGTACACCTACAGCAGAGGTGAGGAACGCTTGTGCATTCCCCAGGATCAGCGGCTCAGGACACTGCTGATGTCAGAGTGTCATGATGCCCGCGGACACTTTGGGTTCTTAAAGTCGTATGCAGCCCTGTCGCAGCGCTTCTTCTGGAAGGAGATGCGGAGTGATATGCTGCGCTATGTGGAAACCTGTGAGCTTTGCCAGAGGAACAAGGTTCAGCGTAGGCCTCCTCTGGGACTACTCAAACCCTTACCCATATCTGATGGTCCTGCTGAATCTGTGTCGATTGGCTTCACAGATTTAGGCAAGACCACCCCTCGAGGCATGCGTCAGGTTATGGTATGCGTGGACAGGTTCTCCAAAGTCCCGACTGTGAGAGCAGCCTTCTCAGAGAGGTGGGTCACACACCATGAACCGCCCACTTCTATAGTCAGTGATAGACACCCCCGATTTTGCAACGATGAGTGACAGTCCTATTGTAAGGACTACCTGCACTCACGATTGGACATGACTTCTGGTCATCATCCTGAAGCCAATGGTCAGGCTGAAGTGATGAACCAAGTCTTGTTCCAATTGCTGCGTCCTGTCATCTCTCCAGATCAACAGGACTGGGATTTCCACTTGGCTCGGGCACAACTTGTTTATAACATGTCTGTCCACTCCTCGACTGGGTTCAGTCCGTACCGGTTGCACTGGGGACGTGAACCACGACAACCTCTCGATGATATCATCGATTAGGCCAAGTCAGACCTGACACCAGGCACCGCAGAGTTCACCAGACGCTATCGCATAGATGTGGAAAGACAACGGGCGAACTTGTTCAAAGCCCAAAAGGCAATGATTGAACAAGCTAATCGCCACAGGCGGCCTTCCCCCATCCGCACTGGTGATTATGTATGGGTAGCCAGTTCTGATCTGTCGAGAGAGGAGGATATCTCTCCCAAGTTGTTGCCTCATTATTTGGGTCCATGGCAGGTCTTAGATACAGTGGGCGCTGATCCATTCGGTCCCTCCTATGTCATTGACGTCCCATTGCATCTACGAACCTACCCGGTCTTTCCATTCATCTAAGCTGCTTCCATTCACTCCAGTTGATGCATTCCCAGACCGGCCCCCTCAATTTGGTCCACCGATCCCTGGCAAGGGATATGACGTGGAGTGGATTGAGGATGAGTGGGGCACAGGCCCCGATCGGCAGTATCTTGTGAGATTCGCGTTCCAGCCTCCTTCTGAGAACAGATGGTTCTACAGAAGGGCACTTCTCAAGACAGCAAAGTCAGTTGTTTTACGATATGAAGCGGCTCAGAAGGGCAACCTTCCTCGCCGTTCACCTCGTCTGCATCCCTAGCTCGGAGGTCCTCGCTCCCCGGGGGGGTAAGCCTGCAATGACTTGCTGATTTCGACCGCCGAGACTGACTGTGAGGTTGTACAGTGTGTGTGCTGTGTGCTTTGCTGTGTTTTTTTATTTGCACTGAGGGCCGCCCGCTGTTCTAAAAATAGCTTAGACTAACAGCAGTAGGGGCTAAGTGGTTACCGGCCCTAAGTGGCCCTGAGCCCTGAGTGCAGCGGTAGGACCGATTTCGTAGGGGCCGAGTAGGCCCTAACTGAAACGGTATCGGTAGGCCCTAAGCTAGGATAGTGTAGAATCTACAAGTAGGTTGGGGTAGGACTGTTGGGGACTTTTGGCTGTTCATTTTCGCGAAGCAACGGTTGGAGAAGCCAAGCAAGTTGGCGGTGGCAATTGTCTACAGGCGGCATCCTGAGACCCTTGCTGCGGACGGCAGCCATAGCCGGCCCTCTGAAGGTTGCCGGAGTTTGGGCAACCTCGGCGCATCTACCCCTGGGGGTATCTGCGTCTGGCCAGGCTATACCGAGGCTCCTCACTGAGTGTTTGTGGGTGGCGGCAGCCATAGCTGCCGGTTTCTTCGTCAAAGTTGTTCATCGGCAGTGAAGACTTCAACGCAGGATCTGTTCTTCATCTGGGTGGTTGGCGCTGGCCTCAGGGAGGCTGTTTCGGTTGTGCGCTACTAACTGGGTGTAGGGTAAAGAGTGGAGTGT